TTGGTGCTCTTCCAGAGAAAATCAAATTATCTGTCAAAATATACACCATTTTGATTAAAAACGTGTTAAGCTTTAGAAATATTATACTTCAAACATCAAATTATTAACCTGGTTGAAATTTAAATACCGACTTGCGCATACCCATCACAACCGAAATATTTAATATCGTTATTGAAGTTTTAGGAATCACAGAAATCGCTTTGTCCTTATGAACAACATCATAAAAATCCTTAAGTCTAGGATTCCCTAAAATATGTTATTATATTATTGGAAATATTAAACGTCAAGTTATTGCGTAATATTTTTAAACTTAGGTGTTTAATATTTCTAAGTCTGTGTCCATGAATTTTTATATTTCAATTTAGCTCATCTTAGGAATCATAAACGCTTTCATCTTAATTATTTTAAAACATGATTTGAGTATATGACACCAAAGTCAGGATTTATTGGGTTTGGTCAATTACGTACAGAGCGAAGCCAGCGTGTATTATTCTCTATAATTACTTATTTCACAGATTGATTGTTTAGTCCAAAAGTTCACTCCACCAATCCTCTCACAAAACTAAGAAAAGTATGCTATGTATTGTGACTTGATTACCGTTAGTTATAATAAATAATGATATTATCGTATTGTGTTTAGTGATAGCAATTGTGATGAATGTAATGTGAAATTTCAATGCTTCTAAAGATTACTCATTCATTTATGGTCTAGTGATTTTCTACAAACTATTTAAGGTGTTTAATGATTTTATTCACAAACTGGTGAGTACACTTTCGTAACTAAGCAAACATTATTTGTTTTTTGCTTTTTGTATAAAGGCATACGTTACATTAGGATTTAATGATAAGTAATAGAAAAATATTAAGTTTAAGGAGAAAACTTATTAAGCATTACGGGTAGATGTCTGTTACTAATAATCATTCCAGAAAAACAAAACTGTAACTTCAAAAATGTTACTCAAAACATAAATTTATTTAACATATCCGTTTATGCAAGGAAATATGTATTATAAACTTTTATCATAGACAACAGTATTTCTCACTAACTCTACTGAGGTTTCGACTATCAAAATCAAAATGTCATTCACATTACCACTGATAATTGACCTGTGGATATAAAAAAAAACAACCAAGTTTCAGGATTTTAGTTAATCTGTTTACATCCTTTTAAAACAAAACGATGTGGTGAATTACGCGTTTACGTGGTCTATATAGCATTGGACTAATTGAAGGATTACTTAGTAAACACCTTAAAAGTTACCCTTTTTATCATCAAATTTATAGAAAATTAAGTATCCTAATCATTGTTTTGTTTTCTATATATTAGTTAAACTTTAATCAAATGATAAAATCACTCTAATCACATTGATTCGTTAAAATTGATTAGTAAACCTTAAACTGAATATAAAATTATAACTTTGAGGAACTTACCAGACTGATTTTAGATTCAAAGTAAAAAATAATGTTAACTGTTATTGTCGATGAATATAAGTATAGGATTTCTTTCAGTGGTACGTTTTTAAAACTCAAAACGGTTGGAATCTAAGTTGTGTATCTTCAGGCCGCATCCGCGATAAATGTAATTTAAACTTACTTACTTACTTACGCCTGTTACTCCCAATGGAGCATAGGCCGCCGACCAGCATCCTCCAACCCACTCTGTCCTGGGCCTTCTTTTCTAGTTCCATCCAATTCTTGTTCATTTTTCTCATATCTATCTCCATTTCCCGGCGTAATGTATTCTTTGGTCTTCCTCTCCTCCTTCGACCTTGAGGATTCCATATGAGGGCTTGTCTTGTGACGCAGTTCGGTGTTTTCCTCAATGTGTGTCCTATCCACTTCCAGCGCTTCTTCCTGATTTCTTCCTCCACTGGGATCTGATTTGTTCTCTCCCACAGTAGGTTGTTGCTTATAGTGTCCGGCCAGCGGATCTGAAGTATTTTGCGTAGACAACTGTTAATAAACACCTGTATCTTTTGGACGATGGATTTCGTAGTTTTCCAGGTTTCCGCGCCATACAGTAGAACTGTCTTGACATTTGTTTTGAAAATTCTGACTTTGGTGTTGGTTGCTAATTGTTTTGAGTTCAAGATATTCTTCAGTTGTAGATATGCTGCTCTTGCTTTGCCAATCCGTGCCTTCACATCTGCATCAGATCCACCGTGTTCATCGATGATACTGCCCAAATATGTAAAGGTTTTTACATCTTCCAAAGCTTCTCCGTCAATTGTGATTGGATTGGTACATGCTGTGTTGTATCGGAGAATCTTGCTTTTCCCTTTGTGTATATTGAGACCTATTGCTGCTGAGGCTGCAGCTACACTGGTTGTCTTCTCCTGCATTTGTTGTTGTGTATGCGATAGAAGAGCCAGATCATCTGCGAAGTCTAGATCATCCAATTGCATCCTAGCTGTCCACTGTATCCCGTGCTTACTTTCAGATGTTGATGTCTTCATGATCCAGTCGATCACCAGGAGAAAGAGAAAGGGTGACAGTAAACAACCTTGCCTGACACCGGTCTTTACTTCGAACGACTTTGTCAACTGTCCTCCATGAACGATTTTGCAGTTTAATCCATCATAGGAATTCTGTATGATATTGACTATCTTCTGAGGCACGCCGTAGTGTCGAAGAAGCTTCCATAGGGTTGTTCTGTCCACGCTATCAAATGCTTTTTCTTAGTCGATGAAGTTGATATAGAGTGATGAATTCCATTCAATTGATTGTTCCACAATGATCCGTAGAGTTGCGATTTGGTCTGTGCACGATCTATCCTTACGGAATCCTGCCTGTTGGTCTCGAAGTTGGGTGTCTACGGAGTCCTTCATCCTGTTTAACAATACCCTGTTGAAGACTTTTCCTGGTATTGGGAGAAGAGTGATTCCCCTGTAGTTGTCACAGTTGCTGAGATCGCCTTTCTTTGCTATTTTGACTAGAAGTCCTTCTTTCCAGTCTTTTGGTACCTGTTCCTCATGCCAGATCTTTCTGAAGAGAATGTGGAGTATCCTTGCAGTTGCTGCTACGTCTGCTTTCAGTGCCTCTGCTGGAATGCTGTCTAGTCCTGTTGCTTTGCCACTCTTGATTTGTCTGATAGCCATGCTGATCTCTTCAATTGTTGGTGCGCCAACATCAATTGGGAGGTCCGTGAGTGCTGCTTCGATGTTGGGTGGGTTCAGTGGGGCTGGTCGATTCAAGAGTTCTTTGAAGTGTTCTACCCATCTGTTTCGTTGTTCTTCAATGTTGGTGATTATCTTGCCTTCCTTGCTTTTCACTGGTCGTTCTGGTTTACGGTGATTTCCAGAGAGTTTCTTTGTTGTTTCATACAGTTGTCTCATGTTTCCTTCTCTGGCAGCCTTTTCCGCCGTCAATGCCAAACCCTCCACATATTTACGTTTGTCAGTTCTGATGCTCCTTTTCACTTGCTTGTTTACTTCTGTGTATTCAGCCTGTGCCTTGACTTTTTCTGCTCTTGTTCGACTGGTATTGATTGCTGCTTTCTTGTTCCTCCTTTCTTGAATCTTATCCAGTGTATCGACCGTGATCCAATCCTTGTGATGGTGCTTCTTTTGGCCCAGAACCTCATGACATGTTGAAGTGATTGCTTCTTTTATCTCTTTCCAGTTGCTCTCCATAGTAGTTCCTTCTCCATTGAGTAGATCATGAAAGGCTTGGAACTTATTGCTGAGGGTTATCTTGAATTTATTGAGTTTGTCAGTATCCCGAAGAAGAGCCGTATTAAATTTTTGTGATATTGTCCTCCCCGTTGTCCAGTGCCTCTTGAGTTTCAATTTCATCCTGGCGACCAGCAAGTGATGATCTGATGCTATATCAGCTCCTCTCTTTGTTCTCACGTCCTCCATCGTCCTCCTGAACTTTTTGTTGATGCAGATATGGTCGATTTGGTTCTGTGTGGTGTGATCCGGTGAAGTCCATGTGGTTTTGTGTATGCGTTTATGTGGGAATATAGTCCCGCCTATGACCAGTTTATTGAAGGCACATAGATTTGCAAATCTCTCACCATTTTCGTTCCTTTCTCCGAGTCCGTGTCGTCCCATGATCTCTTCATATCCGGTGTTGTCAGTTCCAACCTTGGCATTTAGGTCTCCCATTAGAATAGTCAGGTCTTTTGTTGGGCACTTCTCGACGATTGACTGCAGCCTATCGTAGAATTGATCTTTAGCGTCTTCGTTGTATTCGTTGGTAGGCGCATAGCATTGGATGACGTTCATTGTAATCCCCGTTTTCTTGGTTTTGAAGGAGGCTTTGATGATCCTTGGTCCATGAGATTCCCATCCTATAAGTGCATTTTGTGCTTGTTTGGACAGCATCAATGCAACTCCTTGTGTATGTGGAGCATTTTCTTGTTCATGTCCGGAGTATAACAGCAGCTCCCCTGAAGCTAGTCGTTGTTGTCCAACTTGCGTCCAATGTGTTTCACCGATCCCAAGCACCTCTAAATTGTATCTCCTCTTTTCTGCAGCAATTTGGAAAACTCTCCCAGTCTCCCACATTGTGCGAGCATTCCATGTACCTAAATAAATGGTTGCTCTGGTTGTCAGAAGGGGCATCGGCCTCGTGACTTCCGAAGAAACTCGGCTTTCATCGTGAGGCGTCATAATTCTTCTAAACGAAGACCTTCTGACTCCCAGGGCAGAGTTTAAATGGTTTGAATAATTCTTTCTGGTTAGCGTTTTTTTAGCGAGTTAGTTTTCTACGGGATGGGGTCGCTAACCCCATGCCCAACCCTCCTCCTTTATCCGGGCTTGGGACCGGCAGTAGCCCCCGGAAAGGGACTCCAGGCGGAGTTAATTTAAACTAGATGTATGAATATGGAAATACGAATACTATTTAGGAATCAGTGGAAAGATTTGAACTAATCAAGAGTTTGGACACAACATTTTCTGAATTTATTTTGTTCTTTGGATACTTTTTTGGTTTCGATCCCCTCAAAAATCAAAGATGAAAGTGACCTTTTTGTTCTTTTACCATCTTAATTTTAGGTTTATTGGTTAAAAGATGGAAAGCGTGTTGATACCAAATCGTTTCCACATATTGTAATTAATGACTATAATCACTTGATCATAGAGAACACAACAACTGCAGATAGTGGAAATTATACATGTGTAGCAGCCTGTCTTAATGGTGAGAAAAGACGTGCAGTTGCTCGAGTCAATATTTTCCGTAAGTCCGATTGATATTGTTTTTTGTCTAAATTAACGCTTTCACTAACAGTAAGCTGGTAACGCATTCAAAGTTTGTTGTAATAATTTTAGGATTGTCTATATTACTCAATATTCGTTTGACTAACTATCAGGAAGTAAAGTTTTGTTTTTTACCAATCAAGCAAAAAAAAAATTACTGATGCTTTTCAACATATGTAACAATATCAGACCCATATCATGTCACGTTTTAGTTAAATGAGCAAATAAAATGTATATACAAAGTTTACCATTAACTTAAAAACTCAAGTGTATGCGCTTAATTTAACAGGAGAGTAAGTCATGTTTATGAGAGTTCTACAAATTCCTAGTGACCTATTTATATAAAGTAATGTTGATTATGGCAGGACAATGTTTTCCGTTAAAAAAGACATTTTGTTTTTTCGACCTAGGCAAATGTAACTGTTTCATTGAAAAGAAACTTGTTTAGCTTTTAAAAATTCCTCCACACAAATTACTGTGTCAAGTTGACTTATGTAAGTACATCGATTCAATTTCAAGTTAAATGTGCTCATATTTTATTTAAAATTAGTAGTAAAAATTACTTTTAATAGCTCAGCAATAACATCAATAGAAGTACGAGAAAATACCTAGTTGGGGTTACAAACTCTGGGTATTATAAACAGGAATTCCTAGGTATTGAGTTGTCTACGTGTTTATTTATCATGTTGATTCATAACTTGAAACAAGTAAAACCTTTACCTCTGAATACAAACGCTAATAAATAATACTACGTTTTATACTGTAAATAACAGTCAATTAGTTTACCCCTTCATTTTAAAACTAGAAATAAATTAAGTAGCTACTAGGAACATCAGACATAGGAGGTTTCGTATTTTCTACACTAAAATACTGGAATTTTTCAACTATTTGAGCTAGCAGTTTGTAAATAAAAAATGGCCTCGTCTTATGAAACAAAAAGTGTATAGATATAGTTATCAAGATTGAAAATTTCCTCATTGGAAACTGATTTCACAATGAATTCTTATTTCAACGTTTAAAAAACTGTGATATTTTAGTGAAGTTAACTCATTCAACGATGGGCGTACAAGAACACATTTGCAACATTTGTACTCATATATAATAAATGTGTTCACATTTTTAAAATAACCTTAATCACATTAGCTAACAACCGCCTAACATAATAGTTCAAATTACTAAATAATTCTTTTTAATTTATGTTGGATGAATACTTTGTTGAATACTTTGATGAATACTTTGTTTCAGAGTTTGCATTGTTGTTCTGCACATTATGTCATCCGTTTGTTATACTTAAATTAGTGTTTTAGTATAGTTTCTAACTGCGAATTAAGTTTGAGAATACTTGACTAAAATTTAACTTCTCAAAAATACTTTCCATTTACTACCTTTAGCCTACAATTCTGCCATGAATCGACCGGTAGGTGGTGATTTGACTAACTGGGGTGAGTGGGGAATATGCTACAAAGTCATAGGAGAAGGAAGCAATGCTCGAACGTTTTGTCAACAAACCCGTTATCGTATATGTGCCAATCAAATAACCTCAAAAAATGAATTTAAATCAATTGATATGAGTCATCTAGTAACTGATCAATGTCCTTTGCCTTTATTCCAAACAAGAAATTGCTCCTCCAGTCAGTGTATCAGTAAGTAAAATTCTGTCTACCTACACCAATAGTTTGAGTAATATCGTTCCTATTCAGGTAATATTTTATAAATCATTGCCTAACTTGAAGTTACGACCAGGACCTATATGTGTGAGGACATACTGTTGAAAATATAATGCACTTGCCAATTTTTCTGTTATATAAACCAGCTGATAGCTAGTTTTTCATATATTTTTCAAGTAATCTGTTACAGATAAAAGTAATATGATATACAGTGTAAAATTGACTGAAGCAAATAGGTTGGGAAAAATTTCTCAATTTCGTAAAGCAGCTAATTAATACTTCATAATGAATATGTAAAAACGACCAGAAATAAAAGGAGATATTACTCGGAAAAAGCTAATGAAATGCAATGCATCTGTCAGAGTTTTTCTTTATTGTCAAGCACAACGTCGCATAAAATAAAAGCAAATAATCACCAGAAATATTTTAATTTCCAATTAGCCAACTGTCCGATATAAAATAAGGTGAACGTAATTGTCTTCACATAACCTAAATAGTTTCAGCCAAACAAAGTAACTGAGTGATTAAAACTTTCAATTTGAGTAATTCATTGAAAAATAGAAGCAATTAAAGCTATGATATAAAAGTCTACATCATACCTGAATAATGTTGCTGGTTAAATTTAATTTTTCAACCACTAGAATTCAAAGGACCATTAAATTATTAATTTTCACTTCATTAATTAATTAGAATTTATATATTAAAGTATCTTTGAAATACCTAAAAATTGGACAACGGTACACATTTGATCAAGTTTACTTCTGTTCAGTTTATGTACTTTTTAAGTGATTTACAAGCCACAAAAATTTTTAAGATGTTTCCTAGACACACTGTTGTACTTCAAGAGGATGATTGTCTATTTTAATTTTAGTCACTTAAATCATATTTTGTAAATGGATTTTTTAATCTATCATAATATAAAATGTTATTAGGCATAAAATAATTAGTTTTGTTTAAGTGAACCTATTCACTTAATAACCAATTAAACTTGATCTTTATTTTAAACTTGATACATTAAAATTAACAAAAATTAAAAGAGATTATAGTAGGGTGTGTGTAATGAATTCTACCCTAGTGCTTAGAGTGAATTCAGTAGAATACTTTTTGTTCGTTTACAAATTTCTGACAAATTTATTTGAGGTTTTATTTAGTAATCTCAAAAAAAGACATAAACTAAAGGTTGAAAAATATGTTTATCTAACGAAAATTATTTATGAGTGTTCTATTTTTCAGTTTTGCATATCACGTAAATTTACCCCTTTTTGTTTTATAGATTCCATGAATAACGTCGTACTCAAGGGAATTCACCTTTCAGATATAAAACCACCAACTACTACATTAAAAATATCAAGTTCACAAATGTTTAGAACTGGAGAAATTGCAATTTATGTTGGTTTATTTTTGTCTTTAGCCGTGCTATTAGCCGTTATTGCTCTAATAACTAGGCGAAAAAGTTTGAAATTTTCTACTTCTCGGGCGATTCGTTATTCCGCTTGTCTTCATAGTGAGTAATTTACATTTTTTCTCTATGTAACCAGATACTGGCTTTTTTTTTGAAAATCGTGAAATCTAAATGGTTCTTATGATGTTCTGTAAATTGCGAAGTAGAAACATAATAACAGACAATGAATATTGGGTTAGTGATGTTTGATTGTGATATTAGTAAGAAAGTCAATATTCTGAGTTGTTGACATCTGCAAAGAAGAAAACGTAAGTATTGAATTCAACCAAGAATAACTAATAAATAACTTAACAGAGGAAATTTGAGTCTAATAATAGAGACTGTGAGTTAATGCCATACACATTTTAAAACAACTGTAATTTGTCTATGAATAAAGTAATTAATAAAGAAGAAATGCGATGCAGTAAAAATTAAACTAAAGCCATGTAACGGGAAACAGGACTCATATATAAGTGTAAAGATACTGAACGATTCTATATGGAATGTCACGATCAGTAGTGTTAAATAGAAAGCAGCAAACAGAAATTCTGCTGATAGGTAAGTGTAGAAAACACCAAAATTCTTGTGCTATCTGTTAATGATTTAAACATTTTAAATATAAGTCGCGGTACATGGGGATATTTTATTGATGCTTAGACTAGAATCAGCTTATTCTAGCCTATTTATTTCTCGATCTGGGTCTGCATTGACTCACTAGTTACAACCCAAACAGCAGTTAAATATTTAGATTAGTGTCATCTGAGTATAGTGAAATTAATTAAACATCTTTGGTTTTTTATCCTCTTGTTTAATAACATATAATGTTATAATCTCAAAAGCAAATACGTAAGTTCATCATACATAGGCTTAAATGGTTGTTTTGGGTTCCAGCATATGAAAATTAAATGGAAAATAGTTCATATAATTGTAAACAAATGAAATAAAAACTCATAAAACTGAATTAGTTTCAAGAAAGCACACCATCATCAGAGTAGATTAACAATACAGCTGCATGCCTATCTAATCTGTGAATGATAAAACAGGTCACAATGAAAAGTTTCCTCATTAGAGGGTGTATCAGAATGTTATTAAGCAGATTTTTTTTATCTATTTTAGTTCGTTATTTGATGAATAGAAGTTAGTTTTCGTTTGTCTTTATGATATATGTATTACGTAACCAATTGGTGTTCAATACTACAGTAGAAAATTACTTTGACCATCACATTAAAACCTATTCATTTTCCTCAGTATACAATTCAATTCTAATTAATAAAGATACAATTTTTAAAAAAAACAACCAAAAACAGCTTCTAGGCGTTTCTAATAGAACATACTTCATTTAATGTTGTATAAAAAAGCCTTAATTAGTTATTATATTTATTTCTTATCGTAGGCTTCATATAAACAATAAGGAAATACATGTGATTCGATTAATAATTAATGTATTGAATGAAATAATATTGAGGATATTAAGTTATGTTTATTAAGTTATCTAATTCCCCTACATTTCTTCACTCATACATTACATGGGACGTTATGAGAATCCTTACATAATGTATTCAAGTAAATTAATGCTTTTCTAATTTTCAGCGATGTGAATGCAATTTTCTTCTCCCTCCCCCCGAAAAAAATAATCTATGGGATAAGGTGAAGAATACAGTAAAAAATGTTTTCATACATTTTGTTCCATTTATTATGTTAAAGAGATCAAGAACAAAGATTTGAGCGAAATCGCATGAAATTAATTTATTTTGTTAAGTTCTCAGTAGATGCCTACAACCTATAATATTTTAAAATCAAATTAACATAATTATTATAGTGACATTGATCAGATGTGATTATTTAACATCATAGTGTAGCGATGATTAAATAAGATAATAAGATTGGGAGAATATAAAAAGGTGTTTCATATAAATACCTTGTACGGAAGGATATGCTAGGACATTAAGCATAATAATAAAAAACATAAAGCTATAAAATGTCGGTCGGGTTATGTAAGTAAAATGCATATATAGAAGTTGGTCGTAATTAAGAATAGAATGTGTTAAGATCAATCAGTTGAAAATAAAATTATGAATTTGAATGAGATTACAATGCTGCAGTCAATATATGAGCAAAAGGTTTTTAAACCGAGAGTCTCACTTACTAAAATCAACTCATATGATTCGAGTCAAATCCTCGTTCCTGTTCTTTAAACTTTTTTTATTTAGCAGTATATTTAATGTTTGTTCTAAAAGAATAATTCATTTTTCTAAATTAAACCAGTTCTTAGTTAATTTTTTTAATGATTTAATTGTACTTTGAACAGGTAAACGTTCATGTCGACAAGAGATAGTTAATAAAAAAGCCCAAGGTAAGCTGTTAAAGATATTATTGTTATTTTGTGTAAAGTATATTGGGGAAAAAACTATTTGCGATACAGTTATCAATCTTATTAAGAATGATTTTACTACATTTTTCTATCAAAATAATAACTTGACTTAAAGGTTTGATACTACTCACATTCACCGCCGACTTCTTTAATGACAGTTATTTATATAAAAAATTAGAAATAATGGATATAATACAATTGATTTTTCGACATAATTCGGTGGCTCAATTCATTATTGTGAAATAAATCTTTGCGAAAAGGAAAGAGTCATCATTATTTTGATGTGTCATTCTTGGCTTCTACATGTAGTAATATATATATATATGTCTTGAAGTATTGAACTATTTTTTCAATAAAAATAAGCAAATTAAATGATAATTAAAGTTTTAAAGTGATTCAATTTATACTATTAAAGTTTTAGTTTAAAACTGGAGCACTATTCTAAACGAATATATATGTGAACTAATGAAACCCTAGTTCGTTTCAAAATAGTAGTCACTCAGTTTTTATTCCGCTTTGTCTAAACTCAGTGGTAATTCACTGTATATTATTATATAAAGAAAACATGATCAAACATCCCTGTTGTTATTAACTAACTAATAACACGATTTAGCTAAAAATGTTAGCTGAAGTTCATAAAGCATAACATTTTAGCTATAAATATGGTTTAGTAACTTGACTTATGGTTGTGCATAAAATATTTGGAGATCAGAATGGAGTTGACACAAACCTTTTAAAATCCTAAGCTCACTTTGTTGTTTAGGTTTAGAGTTTAATCAAGAAAGTAGAAGAGTGAGTTTACCAACAAAATATCAGAAATGTTTTGTATGATTCAAGAGAGGTAAGAGTGCACCAAGTTACCCATCAGCTGGATTATGATCATTTTAAATACTTTATTATGGTTTTGTTGGCCACATTTCCTAGTCATATTAGATCAACTCAATGTTCATGAAAGTTTACCAACTTTCAAAGACACCATACAAGTAAATCATTTTATAATTTAAATGTAATTTAATTACATGAACAATAGGATGTGTAAAAAAAAATCGATTTTATAACAACTGAAGTGTTGCAATCATATTTGCATTTCACACTGGCACAAAATACTCCGGTTAAAAATTTTTATAAACATAGGATGATTATTACTGTTTATAATCTCGGTAAGCTAGATATTTTTGACTGATTATAATTAACACTTTGAGTTGAGATAAATGATTTTTCTAATGATGATTGAGTAATTTATATGGCAGAATTCACATTAGTGTTTTAAATAAACTATTGGTGGGAGTAAAAATATTGTTGTTTCATAGTTTTAAAGATCATTAGGAGCCACTTGTTTTTATTTCCATCCAACTTTATTCAATTTACTAAGATTTACTAATTTTTATATTGAAGTAATATCTAACACGGTTTGAGTTTTTCCATCATCTACAGACCTGCTATTACCCGGTGACATGTCACAAACTATGATTACAATAATGAATCCAAGTGTGGCCGATACACATAATCAAGAGATGAACAGAATGAAACCAAGTTATAATAGTAACAATATAAATAGTAAAACGTTTGGAGTAAATGTAATAAACGGTGCAATTAATGGTGTACTATTTCAGCACCAATACAATACTGCTCCAATCAATAATATTCCTCTAAGTACAGCTGGACAGAGTTTGGTCTTTTCTAATGGAACATCTTTGGGGACAGCGACGTCACTTTTAGCAAACTTACCACCACCACCTGCCCCACCACCTCCTCCTCCGACTCCACCACCACCACTACCTCTATCCTTACCCCCGATTCCAACTACATCAATCAATTTCGATAGTAGTCACGGAGCATCAGATATTTCCGGTTATACTGGATTTCCGAGTACCTTGCCAAGTACACAACATTTTATGAATCCAGCATCTTGTCAAATAAATGGATATATGACATCTGACCCATATTTACAAACAAATATCGAGTTTAATAATCAAGTGGTAAATTCAGGGACTGAGTAAGTATTTATTTCCAACATTCCAGGGTTATATTTGTATGCAGAATAGAAGCGAGGTTATATTTACCAATGGCCATAATAAAAATAAAAGATTTCACAATAATACTGTAAATAATAAATGATGTCATAATAATTTACATAATAATATCCTCAGATATTTGGTGGATAGCGGACATAGTGTAAACATCTCCAAAGCATTCTAAATCAAACACCCAATGCCCATTTTACTCCATTTCACAGAGGCAACTGAAATCTAAAGTTTCTGACCTGGCCTTTGTGTACAGAATTAGCATAATAGTTTTATAGTGCCGTAGTGATTATGGTTGTAATCAAATAATTTATCGTATAAATACTCACATGTTAATTTGATTTTGGTCCTAATCATGTTGATTGAATTATATGATCACTTATTATTCGCAATATTATAATACAGTCTTATTTTCATTGTGATCATCAATAAATATAATCACACTTTATTCACATCAATTTTAACTAAAGTTAATTATATATCTTGTGTACTATTTCGTTGATAATAATAATTTTCAGTTCCGTTTCAAAAATTCATATCATACTAGTTATTTAAAATATACTTAACATTGGAGTATTAATTCTGTGAGGATATATTAATAATAAATAAACATGATGAGAAGCCTTGAAACAGAATGAATTCACTTTATATTGTCGATCTTGTTGTTTTTGCTTAGCTGATCATATTATGATCACAAGTTTTAGTTGAAGAGAACTATTGATTTAATGTCCAAATATATTTCCTTACAACATTAAACCTGATGATCAAAATGTTATACCACAACAACAAAAATTTGTGATCAGGCATGAAATGACAGTGAGTCAGTTTACAGGTTTTAACTAGAAATAAACATTTGGTGCATCTATTTTGTCAGGAAAGTGCATTTCTGTTATGTGTCACGAAATTTATAATTAATATAGTATCAAGTCATTTATCTTAATTAGGTCTATTAGAGTGTAAAAGAATATACTTAATCTCATGATAATTAAAATCTAAGCAATGATAATAACTGATCTGTGTAATAGCATTCATGAGTTATATGTTGAAAGGTCTTGCTATCCACATGATTTATATGTTATCTCATCCTGAAAACTGTAGTTTAAATGAGTTTCAGTCAAACCAGTAAGAAAAAGTTAATTATCCTTATCAAATTTATTATGTATAAGTGAAGCGAATATGAAGTGACATCTTAGCTTATTTAAATACCGGTTATTTTCTAATTAAGTGAAAATGTATTCCTATGTTTTTATATATAATTTAAAATCAATTTGATAGTACCTTGCCTCGTAAGTTTGAAACATTGGATTCTATTTATTAGTGAGAGTAATGGAGAAGTCATATTTCTCATACTGTATATCTTTTTGCTACTGGGAATAGTGTAATTCTTTCCATATATTTTCATTTTTTTTAATCGTTCTTAACATTGTTTATAAAAACAAGTCCAAATAATTATACGAATTTTCAGCTGTAGAGAATCACACGCGGTCATTAGTAAGTGGAAATGAAGGTGGTATTTTAGATCTTAATAATTACTAATTCCTACTAATTTACTTATAAGCTATATCATTTTCATAAATTTGATGCACAAACTAGTAATCTGAATGATATTAAAATGTATCTCTCAATTTAGTCTCTTATCAGTAATAGTACAGAAATAGTATCTAAAAATCTGAAGTTACTAAGTGGATCTAAGTCTTAAAAATATACTTAATTTTTGTGATGTAAATAGGTAACATTGATATGTTACATTAAACACAAGTTGAGCTAATATCTCCCCATCGATTATTTTGTTTTTCTTTTTAACTCAAGGTATTTCAAACTTCTAGTGATTAACCAAAATATACTTTATTCTTGGGCTTTTAGTTAAAGACTTTGTGAACGGACCTTGGTTAGTGTTTTGTTAAGAATTTAATGGCAATCACGTGCCGAATCGAAGGTAAATGGGCTTTCCTGCCTCAAATCTAATCAGGACACTTCCACATGGCTCATATCTTATAACCAGTTAAATGATCATCTCATTTAATTAGTCTCAAATTATTTCAATATTTTATTGAAATTTGTAGTTATCTAAATATTTACATTTAGAAACCTTTTCCAAGTTAAGTATTCACTTATATTTATAAATGAACTAGAAATTAGTTGACTTCTTTATCTTGTCGTAATTTAAATAAATAGTTTCTTCTGATGCAGTTTCAATCTGTGAGCTGAGTAGTTTAATTGTAAAGCTTTCATTTTCCTTATGGATGCTACTATCAGCACAAAATTTAGAGAGAAGTGATTTTGTTTGGATATTTACGTATGGGGGAAATACATCACCGTTATTGATTGCTATTTAGTGTTAATGCAAACGAAGATGAAAAGAGCGACCACATGTCTGATATTCTGTTGACATTATTTTAAAGTAAATACAAACAAAATTTTTGGAAGCCTGGCAGATAAATCTATTAACAAACAACATACACTGAAGTTGATCCAACTTATCAACTGGTTAGTTAGATAATTTATAGACAACTATGATGCAAAACAAGATTGAAAAGGATAAAACTCAAAATAAATAAACAAACAATAACATGATAAGAGGCAACAACATCAACAACAACAACATCGCTCACTCAAAATCAAGCTCAACAGAACAAACTGTCAGTCATATATGAAGAAATTCGTATAGCACACTTCTCTCTAAAGTTTGTGCTGATGATAACATCCATAGGGAAACTGAAAGCCTTACAATTAAATCACTCAGCTCACTGAATGTAACTATATTAAAATCACTCATCCAAGCTGTAAATTGTCTACATCATCTCAAAATACTTTCTTAAATTTTAATTAATTTTGTTTCAATAAAACTATTTTAAAATTTCAAAAGAAAATAACGAATCCATTTATTTCATCTATTTTCCTTGAATTTATATCATCCAAGAAATTAGTGTAATGACTATTTTAACTCAAATGACCTTTGAACTTGTTCTCTTTTATTTTGTTTTAAAAAGGATTTTTCTCTTTCTAATTTAAGGGCGTGTATTTTTCTATTAGATTTTGTTGTCATCAGTCTTTTCTTTAATTCTGAAAAAAAAAACACAATTATTTTAGAGATTAAGAGCAATGAGCAAAGAACATTTTCAACACACAAAAAAGGTTATTAATATTGAACAAAGTTTACTTTAGGAAATAAGATGAAATGAGATAAATCTGTTGACTATTTTGTAGTAGTTAATAGTATGTACATAGAAGTAGGATACAGAAATTAAACAGACTTCATAGTTATTGGAGATTTTCAGTTTACTTTACTGAGGTAAAATGTTTTAAGTTGAAAAGTAATTAAAGAAAGTATGATGGAAATTTTCGAATTATGAAAGTTGTCACTTTGTAATCAAAATTTGTGAAATCTCTGAGTATCTGTAACTCAGTCAGATCTTCTCGATTCAGCTACATTATAACATTAGTGCAAAGATTGAGTTTTAAAATTTCGTGAATAATTGAAAATATGTTTAGTGATTGTGCTGAAATTACATAATTTGTAACTGTAACGTTAAACTGTATTCATGTTTCCTACCGGTTGACAGACATTATTTTGAAAATTGTAGTGAAAATAAAATTAACAAAAGTAACACTACATAATATTTCATTAGTTGGATCTAGGAGCTTATACACATAATATTTATAAAATTCATAAAGAATGTCTGAAAAGAGGCCAACTTGTTTTTGTTGCATTTTGATAGAGCACTGCAGCTGAAAAATCGTGCACAATTATCATAACTGTCTCTCAATTTTATTCCCCTTTTTACAGACCCACATATGTTGAATCAGAAGTTGGGCTATCCAGAATAAGTTGTGGACCACACTTCTCAACACCTTTAGCTGTTAGCAATTTAGGTGGTCCAATCGAGAGTTCTTCTGGTCCTTCCACAGCAAACACAGGTACAACTGTTACTGCAATTGGATCTTGCAATGGAGGAAGTAGTAATGGATCAGTAGGATTGCCTTTAAATAGATGTCTAACAAATAAAAGTCCTAATAACTATAACATAAATTTTTTAAACGTGGAAATTGATGAGTGCAACGAGACATGTGAGCCAGAATCTGGGCTATACCATGAATTATCTTTAGACGCAGTTTCATCTGATCGATCAATTTTATGTGAATTTAATGATCCTTTAGAATTGGATACGACTATTCGTAAGACTATATCATGCGATGGTGATCAACTAGCTTTGCCACAATCAGGTATGTTCTGTTATATTATAGATTTTGCTCACCGTTATTTTTTCCTTACACTGTTGCAGTTTCATAAAATCAAGTTATAATACGTTTTAAGTAACCACATTGTTTCAGCATCCAATGCTCGGTAAATAACGTTTTGATTTTTAAGTCACGCAAACTGCAAATTAATTACTAAAATATATAACATTTAAGATATACAGACAACTAGATCTATTGGGAAAATCTTTTTCTGGAACACCTATCTGCTAAATATTTCATCGTTTCTTGGACAAACGTTTTAAAGTTTTTGATTTATTAATACATGAATGAAGGTCAACATACATATGAAAATTCAGTTTAAATCATTGAAATTTTCTCTTAAAACTTTGCTAAAGAAAATGAATATGTGATGTACATGAATCGTTTGTAAAACGTGTATTTCACTTTCTAGATTATGTGAAAAGGAAACTAAAGATTCTTAATCAATCTTAATTTTCCTTAGAACTGAAATCTAGGTCAGGTAATCAAACACTAAAATTCCGTTGATATAGAACATTTTTGGTTATCTCCCGATTCTTAGCAACAAGAGTATAATAAGTTAGATGAGTTAGACGTATCTGAAAACTAACTCAAGTTAAACATATGACTTGTGATTTGATCTCATGAAGCACTTTGAGATTTTGAGCGGAAATATCTAACTAATATATTCCAGTCCCAGGTGGTTATTTCTCTTGCTTTGTTCGTTTCATTTAAATGTTTTAAAAAACACTATCTTTTAAGATTAGAAAAGTGGAAAAACTTTAATAAAATTTAGCCAATATAATATAACATTACATTTATTCTTAAGCTTAAATAACGTTTAATATATCTAACGAGTTTCTCTGTTTTTCTTTCTCTACATTTTCTGTGAATCAAACTTCTGCACAATTTGTCGACTGTTATATGATGAATATGAACGGATGTGTTATTGTTTCGGTTCGTGTTTTTATTCATGCACACATATATATATGTATGTATATATATCGATTGAGAACAGGTATTTTCTTGACCATACCACAAGGTGCACTACAATCCAATTCACTCGTTGAAGTTTATCTGGGAGTATGTAGAGAAGATAAACATCGTCCTACATTAGGTGGTAAGATATTTACTTCCATTATTTTCCTAAATGAAAAAATATTCGATTTAGTGTATCTTTTTGAAGTAAAAAATTCATATGAAATATAGGGTGTCATTAATTCTTTCAGTAGTTCAAATATTGTTCAAAAATTATTATAGTTCCTCCCTTTATTCTGAATTCATGACATTAAATCCAAATTACTTTTGTCTAGAATTGCCGTTGGTTTACTATCTACGTTAAAAACAACAGATGATTTCGGCAGGTAGCTTTTATACATCCATATGATCATAAATCAATATTTATCAATGCTTTAATCCAGTAAAAAATTCTTGACAATATCTTCAGTACCAAAAGTTACTTTAAATTATCATGAATAACTTTTCGGCGCTAATGTAAACACCTGTTGTTTGAGAGTAAGAAAAAAATAACAGAAACTTACTAGACACATTTAACTAACTATTTTAGAGTATTATAATCCTAGTCAAACATCAAAAATCATTTGAAACTCTTTCATTTCTAAATTCGACTAATTACTAAACTGTACGAGTAAAATTATTTAAAAATAACTATCAAGGAACATAAAAGTAACCCAATAGTCAGCTTAGTAAGTCTAATAAATCTGCATAAAATTTAAATCCAATACAATCGAGCTTGGACGCCAATGAAATTGACCTAAAATCCAGCTGAGATTATAATAAACATATAGTTTTAATATTAAAATGTTACTTTCTGATGAAAAGAACGTAAGGAAATAAAAAAGTAGGTACTTCATGGTGTAGTTTAACTGTAATCACGAAGACATTTCAGTTTATGTATATTTTATTTATATTTTCATTAGTCTTATCAGCTTTCCTAGTTACCTCAAACTCGATATAGTAAAATATCTCATATTATTTGTAAAGTATAGGTTGAAATAATTTAGCCTTTAGGTATTTTGAATTCCCACTGAGTTTTAGAAAGCAGACGTGTAATACATTTTTCTAATGGCTATTAGCTCAATGTATATAAATTTCATAATTATATTATTCACTTAGATATTTAATGAAAAATCTACTTTATCTTAGCATTGAGTGAAGTTCGTGCTTGACTAATTATATGTTGATAAAGTGATTAATATCTGTGCTAACATATTAGTCGAAATTATAATTTAGCCTAAAGGAATAACCTGAATGTCTCTAAGTGTTTAGTAACAACAACGTAAATGTTAATCTTCTCCATTCGACCTCGGTGCAATAATTATTAATGCCATAGTAACCGGGCACGAAATGGAACTTCACCTTTCTTCATCTAGGGAAAATATGTTTTTACAAGGTTGAGTAAATCTGTATCTTAAAGCATAATAAACATCCTATTTCTGTTAAGAAAAGACTGAAAAAACTCCACTGACTGATTATGAGCAGTTGCTTTGTTTAGAATATGGAAAAATGGTGAAAACCTGAGGACTAACATGAAATAAGCTAAGGTTATTGTCTACTAGTTTTCAGGAAGAAGGACTTGTTACCTTAAAAAATTTCAAATCTTCGTACTTTTAACGAGAACGTTTAGTTCGCCATCTACAAAAATTAAAGCCAAGCTACTAAAACGTTCTGTCATTTACTGACAACAAATAAACCGCAAAATGCTCTGATATTGTTTGACAAGACTCAGTGTCTATAATATATTCTGCTCAAGCAGTATGAAATTTTCCTTAGCTTTACAGTTTGCTCAATATTCCTCCCTTAAAAAATTTAAAGAGACTGATGGTGCAAATAAATTTCAAGAAATTTGTCTAGTCACTATGGTCTAGTAGTTTCCAAAATCATGAGGATAGTATTATTAAAACTTAAAATCTAACTGTTTATGATTCAGTAACGTTGCAGTGTAATATTTTATGCGTGAGTTACGTTTTTAATTAGACATTATGAGCTGTATGCTAGATTCAGGTCTTCTGTTTAGTCATTCATAATTTTAGTTCATCCGCAAATCGACACAGTTAATATATTTCTTAATGTTGAGAATTATTTAAATAAACCTAATTGTTATTACCCACAGGTTGGAGATTAGATCAATATTCAAAGAATTCAGTTATTTTTTCATTCAGAAACACATATTCATAGTTTTATCTTGACAGTTTATACAAAATCAACTGAGGAGATAGGATAAACATCTGCTATTAATCACGGTAGGCAGTGGCTTTTAGCTTAACTACTTCGTAGCATATTGTTACCAATTTGTACATCGTTTAATAAGAAAGTTATCGCGGTGAAAAATAGAGGAAAACTTAACCGCTTACTGTAGTCAATCCATGACAAGTGTATATTTTGCAACAACGTTGAAGCAAGAAAATATTTCAGAGAAATTTGTGTTAGCCTTATATAGTTCACAAAAAATAACATATGAGGACTGAGGAAACTGTAAAACAATCTATATTTTAGTTCCATGTTAGGGTTTTTTGACGTCTGATGGTATTTGTTTTACAATTGATTGATCACTGGGTGACCAATGTCATGAGTGTCTAGTCCTTATTATTAGTGCAGATCGAATGCTATCGATCATCTTGCAATGTGGCCACCAGTCTAGGTGACTGGACACCGCAGGCACTATTGTAAGATTAGATGGTGGTTGGAGGTAGTCGACAGGAAACCCTGGACCCGGGTTTCGTGCTACTTGGCACTCGTCAGCAAGGTGTACCTGTAAGCTTTGAGGGAACTGGTGCTCCCTGGCGGATTCGATCCCGTGTCACCCAGCTTCACAGTCAGAGACGTTACCACTGAGCTATCCGGGCCGCGACCGACCTCCTGTAAGACTGATATGTAATCACAATTGATTGATCACTGGGTGACCAATGTCATGCGTGTCTAGTCCTTATTAGTCATGAGAAATTCAATGAAGTATACGTATGAATGAAATCTAATAGTTTACAAATGTTGTAATACAACAAAGGAGCAAAATGTGTTTTCTATTGCAATAAAGTGTTGTGTAGGTAGTTCATTGAAATTTATAAATAATTGGGAATGTAGGGTGAGACTAGCAACTATTCAACAGTCACTCCATGTAGCTGTTGGCTTTTATATATATTATCATCTGATATACTTCCCAAGACAACTAATTTCTAAATTTAATTTCAACAAGTGTAAATTGACAAATATGTAAACAAAGATTACAGTAACTAAAACTTATATTGAAAGGGTATTTATAATAGGTTGCTTGTAAAAGTATACTCAGTCTAAATTATAAATTGAAAAATTGTCGAAGAATATTCAATCAAAATGTAGTTCTTATTTATTGTCATTATGACTATGCAACCTATGATTTAAAGAAAACAGCTGGTCTGTCTAAGATAATATGAGTTTTGTGAAAAACTATGTATTTTCAAGGTAACTATTAATTTCATAAATACAATCACCAAAATAGTTTTATCATATCAAATTTCATTAGGGTTATAATGGTTGATGATCTTGGGACAAATTTCTATTCAACTTTTATAGGTTAACAGTCCTTCTCATTTTAAGTAATAATAAAATAAATAATATCATGTTTCACGTAAATATTTTTTGGATAATCAGTGTATTTTGCAAAACTTACTTATTCTAAAAAAACTTTATTCGATACCAAAATTATTATGATAAGTCGTACTCTTTTTATTTGATTGGAACAGATCATCTTTATCTGAAATGTGAGGATTCCCACAGAAATAATAACAACATCATTTAAATGTACATCTATAGCAGATAAGCTTAATCTTTTTGTAATTTTCAGTAGCTAGATCTTTACTTATCTTCATATAAAATGCCCTGATAAGTATATGTGTGACCAGATTGTTTGAAATGTATGGCGCAAATACCTTATGTTTTTCAGATCAACTCTGTCTTCTCATTGATCTATTGAAAACTAGATATTTGATTTTTAAGAAGTTACAAAATTCTTTTAACTCTTACCTATTTTTTAGTCAGTATCTAATACATTGTTTAATAGTCACCTAGTGAGTGTTTTGATTATAATTCAATAATCAACTAAATGATGAATAGGTTATTATGCATAAAATATGGCTAATTGACTATAAATTATTAATTTATCTATTTTCAATGAAGATAATTGATTCCTGTATTAGCAACCCTATTATCCGACTAAGTAGTTTTTTATCAGAGGAGGATATCTTCCAAAACAATATGATTGATTATAGAAAACATAAATAAATTAAACTAAAGGAAAGCAGTTGATAGTCTATGTTTGATAGGTTTGATTCTATATTATCTGGGTTAAGTAACTTGTCGGATTGCAATAGTTGAATTACGTGTACCCTTTAGTCAGGAAAAAATGCATGACTAATTACTTTTTGATCTCTTGTTTACCAACTTAGGTTCTCTGGTCAGCATATTAACTGATTATAAGGAATATTTAAGCAGTTAAAAATCATGAAAATTTAGAGTAAACCTAATAAGTGAAATGGTTTCAAACACAGGGGTGATAAGTCGGGTTAAAAAACAATTGTATTAGGACGATTTAAAATTGCTGTTTGATTTCATTTTATCAACCGAAATCATCTCAGGCAATTTGCACGTCAATTCTGTTTCATTAGTTTATACTGGTAAGCATGCAGCTCCACTAATATCTAGTTTTTTTTAAATAGACTGACTACTTACCAATAGGCTTTATAAGAATGAATAAAACCATTCGATGCTCTTCAACAGTGTTATCAGTGGCGCTGTTCACCTTGAATGTAATGAAACAAAATACTTTATCTGTCTTAATGTCCTTCATTTGTAACTTAACAAAACTTTAAGATCAATATAGATATATGTCGAAAATTTTCATAACATGTACGTCAGTATCATAATACATCACGTACTACGTGACACGAATATATCCATATGGATACATATGTTTGTATGCTTATAGATGTGCTTATTATTTTCCAGTGTTTCACTTCTTAGTGCATAAATAATAACTGTAACAGGCTGAACGGGTTAATTCCGTCAAGAAAAACGCGTACAGACGAGTTGTATACATATTCTAAAATGAATGTGTTCAAATGTAATGAAAAATGATGCATTCTCATATATTTTTCCAGACATAATAATACGAACGTTTAAGTGATTCTAATTTTTCATGACTGAACTTGAAGAAGAAATTTCATTTCTATGTTTGAAGAAAAAATAACAGTGAATTTAAAAAAAGAAACAATTTATGTTTCGAATAGTAAGCTTTGTTATGATGACTATTACTAAATTTCATTACAATGTTTTTATGGGCAAATAGACTAGAAGCCTTAACATTTTGTGGTCATTTGAAAGGTATATGTATATTTGATTACCCCGTTTGAATAATCGAAAAACTGAGTTTAATATACATTCCTTATGTAGATCATGGTAAGTGTTTAAAGTACTGACAGTGACAACATTCCAAGAAGCTTACAAATTCTTTGAATGTGATAAATCTGATACATTTATCAGTAAAATTGTTTTCGTTTGACAACATTGATTAAAACGATTACTACACGTAATAATAGGATGAATAAACTCAAATCACGTCTTTTGTCAAAATGATTGTTTGAAACATTTAGTCTGATAACTCATTTCTGAACTTTTTGACAAGTGTAAAAATCAAAAATCAAAACAGCGAAAACGCTCTCTTCATTGTAGAATTGTAGTATTCAAGTGTTGTATTTACTGACATGATTATAACACAGATGGACATTACCAATGACAGATAGCATTCGACGAAGATGAAGCTTAGATTAATACATGAGTTATTTAAGATGAAAAATGTAAATATCTCATCTAAAATTCTGAAAACTAAAGTTTCTCTATTGATGCCATAAACAGTGGGGTCTCCGATTTACATCAAATTATATGAGTTCATAAGGTCACTGAACTAGCTGACCATAACTTGATTGTAGCTGCTATTAAGTGTATGAGTATCGTTTTTAGTTAAAACGTTTGTTTACAAAAATAAAATGGTCATTCATTGATACTATTTGGAAAACTGTCGTAATTCACACATTTTGTGAGTGGTCGTTCGAACATATTTAAATAACGAGGAAAATAAAAAACGATTCTTTTCTAACATCAGAGGAAGCATTTACCTATATTTAAGTTTTGTGCAGGTAATTATTATTTTAAATATCATTTTTACGGTTCAGAACAAGCAGCAACTCTACCAAACAATTTACACCGTTTGTTGAGGCTAAAGCTTTCATGGCTATTCCCATACAATACATATATCCTGCATAATAACATAATAATAATAACATAAGATAATACTGACAAAGTATTTCAGAAGACAGAATTGAATGCTACAGACTAGTTGGCAGATACGTGTACTAAATCACTTGATATGGTTTGTAATATATTTGCTTTAGATTACATTGCTATATTATCATTCAAATTAAGTTGACACCTATGCATGTATTTTTGCATGCATACGTTCTGCTACTTTATATCTATATCATATAAAACTATGAAACTGGTTATAAAAATATTTCAGTTATCAATCTTTTTCCAAAAAAGAAAAACAAATCTAGATTATGTTATAGTTAGAAATGACATTTGAATCACCCAACCATCATAAAAACAAGTAATAAATAGATGGAAAAAAAACAAACTACGCTTGCTATGCTTAAAAATAGGTAGACTAACTTCTATATTCTGTTGTATTTGGTAAGTGCTTACAAATTTTGATTTTTATTTTGTAGTACCGTAATATTATCTTCATTACTAATTGCCTGTAAACGAATGTAGCACCTACTAAGATTATAAAATTCTCGTTTGTTGAGCTGCAACGACTATGGTCCAGCTAATAGTAAGCTTTAGATCCAAAATATTTGATATAATGGTATCATCCGGTCACTAAAACAATACTATGGATTTAATTATCAAACTGCTTTCTCTTCACCAAAGGCCTATCGTATTCGAATACATTCGTCTAGTTTCAGCTAGCAGTAAAATAGGCATCTAAAGAAACATGTTGATCGTCAACTTCAACAGTTTCTTCAGTCATTGTATCCCGATGGACTTATATGGTATTTCTACTTGTATTGTCATACAATCAATAGTCAAAAACAGATATTTAGGATTGTAGCATTAATAAATTTTAAGGGATAATTTTGGTATACAAAAAATTTAAAAGTGAAAATGTGGTTAATTGATTAATGCTTATTCTTTATTGTGATTTAAATAATTCTACTTAGTTCAAACAACTTGGTCCTGGTCCCAATACTAAAACTTTATATACTTTTCAGATGGATTTAATGTTTTAAAGCTGATTAATCATATAGTCAAATGCTCCTCCTTTTTAAGATATCGAACTGATATATATGAGATCTACATCTTTCTTCGAATGGTTGTTTTTACTTAACAAGAATTAGCTTTGAAAATAATTAATATATTCTAGGTCAATAATTTGAAGCCTGTTTCATATGTATTAAAAACAGTTATTATGTAGTTTGCAGGTATTCTCATTAAAATCTACATTTTTTAGTAGTTACTAGAACTGCAAGTCGATTAGGAAGATAATTTCCAAGGGAATGTTTTATTCCTCACTTTGTATCTTTTTTATTTACTCAATGATTCCCAATTTCATTAAACTAAATAAATCAAATGAAGTAATAGTGAGAAACAAATTTCTTAAATCTGATTATAATACAATAACTTTCATTAGTTAATAGTCATGACGACCGCTGAACCCTCATTCTTTTATACTTTTTCTACTGCAATTTCAACCCACCTATAAAACAGTAATCAAGCCCCAATGGAACAATTAATTGAAATAAACGAATTTTAATATTAAAAAAAAACTCAACTACATGCTGTGAAATGACCTAAAGCCTTATTCTTCTATATTGATATCTCAAACTAAAAGTAATCTTTCTAGGCACACATCTATTTGTCTTTCAAATTTCCCTAAATATATAAAGCAGATGGTAAATAAATAAAATGTGACAAAGCTCATGTTGTTACGTTTGTTATAATCAGTATCATATTCAATATGCGGTCAGTATACTTATATGTAACTTCAATACGTGTACAGACGAGTTTGTCTTGGTGTAAGATAGAGAATTCATGTATTTATGTACACATAAATAAATATATGTTTTTGTGAATTAGTTGTGTAAACATGTGTCCATAATTTAATTTCACAGATTGTAGAAATTACTTTTTTTTATGTCTGATAAAGTTGATTAATTTAGGCGAATCCTCATTTCGATAACCTCAACAAGTACTAGTATTAGTAGTAATTAAAGTAAACTGAAAGAAATGATGTAAAATAAACAAAAATTCGTTTAATTAAATAAATAATAAAAACTAGTTAGAAGCGAAATTAGTTTAATGCGCCATATAGTGTTCAACCCCTATTACTCAACTGTAACTTGTATTACATTAACTCATTTTTCAATAAAGAAGATTATTTCTTTGATCTACTCTTAATTTATTGATGTTCCAACAGATGTCAACGAAAAGAAATAAAATATACTTAATCTTGAAGAACGTTATAAATTATTATGGTGAGGAACCGGAAGAAGAATGTATTCGACTTCCGTAATAATACCATAGAAGATAGTGATTAAAACTTTAGTAGTGAAAAACTATACACAGAAATAAAACAAAGTACTTTAGAAAAAATTCTATTCTCACTATCTGTTGGTGATTAAATTGCACTTTGTCTAGTTTTCGGTTAAAATGTTAAAACTAGTTCCGTTTAAACTGAGTCACTATTACAGTAGCTAAAATATAAGATTAATATTTGAAGTAAATGAGTTTATATCGGAAATTTATTACAGCTCTTCAGTTGTTTGAATTCGTTTGTTAGAACCACTTTATTAAATTATTTGAAATTATACACACTTTACACTATTTTATGTTATAGAATTTTAAATTTTCCAGGATATTTAGGTACCAGTTTACATAGTACTTACAAAGTTTGATAAAGATTATCACCTCTACGGAAATCGTAGCTACTATCACATTTTAAATGAAGTGCGATCTTGTGCATGGCATATTTTATCTCATTAACAAACTATTAGACAACCGTTTTGAGGTCAACACACTGTCATTCATTTGTAATTACAGAATGTTCATAATGACTGTGGGAATTCATCCTGGTTTATTTATTATCCTTTTTGTGACAGTTTGTATTTTCTGGTAGTTGATGTTTGATTAAAAATGCTGAAAATAAGTTTTCCTTAATGTAGTTGACATAACAATTAAAAGATGAGATCGATCAATGTTTACTCTTTAATTCTATTTTACGTTTTGAATGAATTTATTACAAAATCCAGTAAATTTATGAAATCTAATTTTTGTTAAAGATATGAAACAGAAATTTGGCTTTAACTATTCAACTTCTGTGGTTAATAGTGAACTTATGCTTCTTAAAATTTTTTGTACAGATCATCAAACGTTACTAAGTCCCGTTATTCAATTTGGGCCAGTGGGCTTAAACCTGTTGAAACCTGTACTTTTATCGTTTCCTCATTGCGCCGAATTAAATCAAAGTAATTGGTTAATACGAGTCTTAGCATTAGGACCGAATTTGAATCGTTCACCTAACAATCTGAACACATCAAATATAAACGGATATAAATCCAACTACAGTGCATTACATACAAATTTCGATAATTTTATATGGCAGGTAAGCGTTATTTCACACTTTTTTCCAGTTATTTTATTAATCAACTTTCTGCGTGTTTTGTCAAAACTCATGAGTTATCAATTTATTCAAAGTTAGTTTTATACATTATCTATATATTCATAGAAATATCATGACTTGATGGGTTCGACAGAGAAACGGAATCCATTTAAATGCAAATAATAAAATAGATCAGCAAACAGACAAAATCAGATAAAATTAAATGGTTCTTTGTAAATTCTGTATATTTAGCTACAGAACCATTTGAAAGCTGAAGCACTGGATGGTTTTACCATTCTACCTTGAAACAAGACTTATTGAAAAAATTGAAGCTCCTAAGCTCACAGTCGTGCAGAATCATGGATAAAGATCATAGATGAACACTACTGAGGAGCCCCACATTGGGACAAAACGACCGTCCAGTCCTTCCAGGTTTTCAGTGGTGGTCTAACATCAATCGTTTGGTGATTTTAATCAAAAATCTAATAATTTCCGAAACCCTATACCGATAATTACCGTGTGCTCACTAGTGACTAGCTTCGTGAAGGAATTCTCGGAGTTCTAGTGGGAAGCCGTGACCAGTGGAGCAAATTCATGTGAGGTAGACACAGGTATCTACCTCAGTACAATGGAAGATGGTCACGCAATTTTGTGGGTTGGTTGAGGTTAAACATTAACACTGTTGGATGCCGGCTCAGTGGTCTAGAGGTTTGGTCTTCGCGTGCGAAACTGAAGGCTCTGGGTTTGAATCCCACGAGCAGGATCGTGGACGCGCGCTGCTGAAAAACCCACAAAGGATGAAACGGCCATCCAGTGCTTCCAGGTTTTCAATGATGCTCTAACATCAATCGATCCATGACCTCAATCAAAAATTTGATAATCTTCACAACCCTTTACTGATAATAATCACATAATTATAACTGTACAGGAGTTTAGTTTCCTTGTTATTTAAAATGGTGAGTTCTATTATTGGTGTGATCAAGACATGTTGTCATGTACATCAATTATCTTTTATTCGGATTAGCAGATTACAGGTCAAATCATTTTTAATAAACAGCTTAAGTTAAATTTACATAACCTGACAATATTCTATTCGACTTCTGTATGAAATTCAAATTAATAAGTTTAATATATGATAAACCGAAAGTGTTCCAGAATGTTTCAAGTATGTTTACCGGTGCAAGGAATACAATATGTAAATTTTACTTATCAAAGCAAATATTATTTCCTTTTCTTGTAATTATTACAAATAATAAAACGAAACTATATATGTATGTATATATATAACATTTAAAAACAAAGAGATGAAAATATCTTCTCTTTTTTTTAGAAGAAAACATTATCCTACAAATAACTTGTACATGCTTTTGACTTGATATTACAATAGTCATCGTTATTGCTGTTTTTATAATGAGAAAAAAAATAGTAGTAAAATTAATATGTACTTCCAACTTCCAACTCCATTCTTTTTTCTTTTTTATATTCACTCGACAACGAGATTATTTCACCACCCTTGCAAGAAGAAAACTTAAATATACTGTGTTCTTATTTAGCTTTCTACCTCCACATATTTCTTTTCAACTGTCTATCTATATCATATGAATGATAACAAAACTACTTTGACAAGAATAAGCAACTGACATTTTAATCATTAATTCATTTAAGTAGTATAGTATGTATATGCATATAGATGTATTCAGAAATATAGAGAAATTTGATCTGTTCTTGACAGTAGAATTGTCGGTGACTAAACAACGAAATATAATAACAAATTTGAATGTTAGTCATAGTTTTAAATTCCCCGAAACATAAGCAACTTGAAACGCATTGAACCCTTACAACATAATATAACGCACTGTTTTATCTCTACTATTTATGCAGGAAGTATATTACTCAAATGGCCAATTACGCCTCTCTTCACATTATTTCTCAGTTATCCTATATTTCCCTTTCTATCTCTTATTCTGTCATAGAACTAGATTCAGTATATATTAATGACAAGTAACGAAAATACAGTATGAATTTCAGAATAAGTTTATAAATATACATGCCTATTTTGGAAGATATATATATATATATATATATATATATATATATATATATATGTATATGCGAAATTATGTAGCACCCATATTTCGTCCCTTATCTAAGGATAATGTTGAATGAGTTATCCAGTAGCTAATTATGTTTACGATTGTTTTCGAGATAAATAGGTAGCGAATTTGTATTTTTAATTCTCTCTTGTAGGAAGTGGGAATAATTGGTTATGAATCAAATGTTACTAAATTCATCTGTCATCTTGATTCAAATATGGCACATCTAATGACTGATGTTGCACGGCGTTATTGTCTAGTTGGTGAAACACAGAAACTTCTGGGTGGTAATCGCTTAATATTAAACCATAAAAATTCAAATCATTCAGAATTCCAAAATTTTCCCAATGGCATCAATACGAATGGTTTGCAAAATATAAATATCACAAACTTTACTAATAACAATAATATTATGACAGATAGTACACAGGATAGTGGTTTATTACCTGACATTCAGCCTGCAACAAAAATTTTGAAATTAGCTGCATTTTCCGGACCACTAACACCAACAATTGACTATAATATAAGAGTTTATGTACTAACTGATACTAAAGATGCATTGGAACATGTTTTATACGTAGAGAAACGATTAGAAGGAAGACTGTTAGATGATCCAAAGTCATTATTATTCAAAGACAATGGTGGAGGGTTGTGTTTTTACATTGAAGATATTTCTCCTGGATGGAGAAGCCGATTACAAACTAAATCACAGGTTTGTATACATAAACATATTACTGATGGTTTTTTAAAAATCTCTTTTCGTTAAATGAAACTAAATGAAAATGGGAGATTTATTTGTAGCATATGTTCACATTTTGGTGGGCTTCAGCCTTTAGTGTGTTTCGAATTTTGACTTTTAGTTATTCCATTTGTAAACACTATATATTTTCACATTCCTTCAAAACTACGAAATGCTTTATTTTAAAAATTTGCTCATATGGGATGTGCATTTCTGAATCATCATTTGGAATTAATAGAATACTGTCTTTAAAATAAAATTCATCAGACGATATCTTCATGCCTGTCTAATATTAAGTAATACATTCTTTGCTTAGAGCGGATAGATATTGTCCCACTTTAACTAGTTTGATACGTTACGTAATTGAAAGTTCTTCTATAATGGTTGTTTACAAGAGTTACTTCCTGGTATAAATATCCTGAACTAATTAATAGTTAACACATATCAAGTTTGAAATAGTAGACAATGTTTGAATAATTCACAGATTATTTTTCTTACATTCACCAATCGTAAACGGTAGATTGTAATTGTGAAAAGAGGCTACAGAAATCTTAAGTAAGTGAGTAGATGAAGTGTTAATTAGTCATGGAATTACAAACTAGGCAAAATAATAAAATGATTCATTACGGTAGTACATACTTTACGAATATATATTCATCAACGTTTTAATTGATGATTTTTATTTATGATAAAAATGTCAGAGATGGTATTGTTTATAATTATTTTCCTTAGATTCCTATACATTTTTTATTTTGCGTCCATGTGTACACTTGGCTACATATCCGTTGTGTTTGTCATATTGATTTCTTAGATTGGTCATATTAGTATTCATATTTGATTTGTGCACATTTCCTTCACACTTGTGATGTTGCTAATTGCTTTTTAATAGTATTTATTTTCTCACTACCACTACATTATCATCCTATTAAGGTATATATCTGCATATTCATACCATTACATATATAAATGAATACTATACTGATAATATGAAGCTCCTGATTGACTTTTAAAGCGTTCATTGAATAGGTACTGGCATTATTTGACCTGTAAATAGTGAATCAAAAACAGGTATGATTCGGATTTCTATAATGATAAATAGATAACGAGTAACTTTAGACTTTTTGATTGGATTAATGACATTCAAGACAATAGGTACATCAATAACCAACAATGCTTATAGTAAATATATTTTTGTTATATTCCAATGAGTAGAAAAATTGTATTTCTGACGTTTCGTGACTTAATGTAAGCCAATTCTTCAGAGTAAATAAATAGCCGAATTAAATTTACACAAGTTTGAATAGTGCAAAGGAAACAATGTAGAAGATTTTTAGACATGTCCTTATCAGATTAATTATTCTTTAGTCTACAAGCAAAACTTGGAATGAAACTTTTGGTTATATTGTTGAACTTAGTGTCTAAGGAAACAGCTAAGACACATCAGACAAAAAGCATAAAAATTCTTGAACAGCTTCAAGGGTCAGACTCATAGTTTATGATGTATAGTTACGTTAATGATTTACTTAGGCATGGTAACAATGGGATATATTTTGATATGCATAGGTCATTTTCGTCACAGATTGTTGTCAATCATTTGGAATTCAATGATTCAGTTTCCAAGCTCAGTCAATGTATAGCTGCTGAGGGATTTTATTCTGAAGTTCGCTAGATGTCTGATGCTGCATGGTTTGCGGTGGTACTCCAGATGATGTCAGTTTCCGATTAAAACTATCTACAGGTTAAGCAAATTCACACAAACCTATCATCTGTAAACACTAATATATCATTTAATTATCGACATCTTTATTTGGTTAATTTTCTACACAATCACTTATATGAATTATTTCAACTAATAAGCACTTAATTATTGTTTTCTAAACTTTCTGCATACAGGAAATACCATTCCGACATATCTGGAATGGTACACAAATGTCTACGCTGCATTGTGCATTTTCACTTGAGCATTTGGATCCAAGACAGCTAAATGTGTCGTGCAAAATTAAAGTTTATCAAGAGAATTCCCAATTACAAGAACAGATTTTAAAAATTTCAAACCAAAGATTTGAGGTAAATGTGATAATTTTTCTGATTTTTAGCAAAGTTAGTGTTTAAAATTTGTTTAATATGAGTATGCATATGATACTGTTCACAGATTAAAGGAATTTATGGGACTATAGAAGTTTATATGGTAGAATTCAGCTGCATAATATCAGTTTACTTTAAATTTAAAGTAAATCATTAAAAGATATCTTTATTTCAAACGGAAAAATCAAATAGCACTGTTACCTTTATACATATTAATGTATATGATGGCAAAATGAGGAATTGTAGTCTGAATGTTAAGAGAATACTCTTTTTTGTCGAAGAGTTCTGTGAGCTAATTGCTTGTTTGAAATGTCCTACATTCTTATTTGCTTGGTAAAATAAATAATTTGAAATAATATTTTTGTGTATCTGTCATTTTATCTTTGTCAAGATAACCTCTTTGAGTACATAAAAACCCTCACCTAACGTTACTTCTAAACGCTAATATGATTGAATAAGTATTTCTGTCCATAGGGGCCTCATAATATGGACACTACTAAATATTAATTTTGCCAGATCCAATTCTATTTGCGTATTAATGAACTGTGGTTGTTCCATTCATTTAATTAGATTTTGTTTCATTCCAAAGCAGACTTATACTCAATATGATTTTTTGTGCGACAAGTTTAAAGACATACACGTTTTGGGGATTTTTCAACCGGGAATGAGTGATGTATCGTTCAGATGTTTTAACTAAATCTACGTAAATATTTTTACGTTGGAAGCATTACGATATCAAGTTAAGACAGAAAACACCCAGAATAAATATTATAATATTTGAGAAGAACATACAAACTGTCTGTTGACTGTACACTACTGATCATTTGACCTGAATAAATCCTTACAGATTTTACTACTAACTTTCTTGAACAAAGAATAACTTTAAACCATTCAAATTTTTCCCAGCTGAAAACCGAACATTCAAGAACAAGATTCTTCAGTTCAGAAGACCGTAGTTCAGATATTCGCTGTTTTCCTAGTTCGTATCGGTAAGTTAAATGAAAGCAGCTTGCTTTATTTAAACTCATTGTTATCAATTTTGAAAATATCTTGTTCATCAAAATTTACATCATAACATAGTTTTACATTTTACTTTGAGCATTATTTTATGTAAATTCATATTTATTCTAGTTCATTTTAAAGTTTGAGAATATTTCCTTTATAAGACACTAAATGAAAGCTATTTTTACACATTTTCTTACATATCTTCATCTGATTATCAAAATAGTATTCGTTTGGCTTGACAATAGAATTATAATCTCATTTTTACATGATATTCGGAAATACTCTAACTAGAAACTCCCTGAGATCACCAATTTGAGTCAGACAGAACTCGATGAGCACAACTAAACAAATTTTATTTGAAATTCGTAATAGGGGAAGAATTGATTAGCACGAACAATACAATTTACCCTTCTTTTAAATGAAAATATCAGAACACTTTCGTTTTTTTTCGGCACTCTAAATGTCTAACAGTCATTCTCCTTAAAAAGTATAAATGCACAATACATAAAAACGGACCTAGTTTAAAACAAATATATCAACTGACTACTGAATATCGTAAAAGTTTAGTATTCTATTGGAATACCGACTTTTATATCAAATATAGTTTTGTTTAGAATGAAAAAGATTGAATCAAAGTGTTACAAAGTAAATGGATGCCACTTTAGAAACTATTTTCAACTGAGCAATTTGATTTACCTTAAAGTTATTAGAAGCAAAAGTGATGTAATAGACCGAATATAAAGTGTATGGTCGTCTAGTTAGATGATCAAACCTACAAATAATGATTACTCTAGGGATTAGTTCATAATAACGAATGAATTTTTTCCAAAGTTATTTTTATTGATTAGTATGGCAGCAATAGTTCTAGTAATTAAATTACATTTAAATAAATTGGTTACGAAATTATATTACTTGCTTACTAATATCTCTGAACTTCGTTTAGTATACACTTAATATTTAGTGTGAATGAGCGTAAAACAAACAAACAACTAAACTGTAAATTTAAAGACTAAATAAATTAATCTACTATGTAATAATAAACTATAAGTGAGATGTCCGAAAATGTCCATACCACTCTATTTATTACTTCAATTTCATTTCTATTTTACACTTGAAGAATGCTAGAAATATCTGTGACTGTGTTCATATGAGGCTTATTTGTTTATGTATATTTTTAGTTACTCACTTAACAATATATCATATTTAACTTGATATTCAAAATTCAATTTTTGGTAATATAGTATGTTAAATAGAATGAATACACATGAGAATTCATCTTAACATAAGAAACAACATACAATGTATGGAATCAATTTGTTGATATTATTGTTACATATCACATTTATTACATCTAAATTAAAATGCTGATTGACTTTGAGGGAGGCTTCTTGTGAAGCGGAGTCATCGGAATTGACTAGATGCTCCAAGATTGAGCTTTTAACTGACTTATGTAGTCCTTTGGAGAGCCAGGAAGGGTAATGTTTGGATGATGATTGTTTATAGAATGGCTTGATGAGATTTACGATTCTGTGCAGTAAAAATATAACTATTTTAAGCATTGGGTCTATTTATCATCTGTATTCGCTACCTATTGCGACATTAAAAGTAAATAAAAGGAAATTCCGTAACCGAGCAAATTTTAAACCTCCTCAAAATTTACCATGAAATCATTAAAAACATAACTTTTTACTCAAGTTCAGTAAACAGGACAAGTAATTATATTAACTATAACTGCTCAAACAAAGCGTTACTGGCATTGTTTTAATCAAAATATTGTAACAGAGACGAGCCATCAAAACATAAGGTAAACTAGTTGTCATATTAAAATCGTAGAATAAACAAATCATTTAAATGTATGTTTATTAATATATTTCGCACAATAATATCCTCCTCTTTTAAATTGAATTATAAAGCATAAAACTTCTAAGACAGGTAACGTCAACTCAAAAATAATGTATAAAATATTAAAACTGTACATAAAGACAGATACCATGATAACGATTGATCTATTTTTTGTTAGCCTACTTGTGTATAAATATACTCATCTTAAGTATTTTGAATATCCTTTTCTAACTACAAAGCCAGTGATGTGATGATCATGTGTTTTTAAGAAAATGTTTTTATTTACTTTCAAATACTATTTCGTTGATAAAGTCGAACAACGCAGAAAAAAGCAGATGCACAACACTGTCTGTCTTCGACCACAATATATCTAAATAACAACCGTTTATGATCAGTGGTTATTAGGTTAATATCTCATGAATGTATTCATGTTATCTCATTGTCCGTGTAAATGAACTGTGTAGACCTGTGAAAGGAAGTAGAAAGCAATATGGTAAGCGTGTCAGTAGTCAACAAAGAAATCACATTACTCTATACAGTGGAGATAAGTCAATGATACAATTTGTTAATTAAGAATGTAAACATATTAGACTGACAGAGTAGTGAAATGCTAACCATGCTATCTTTCCGTTTGTAAATATCAGGTTCAAAGCGTTTGAGTATGTGATCCACCATAAAGGGGTATAAGATCAATGATCTTTATTTGTTTATCTTAACGAAATATTGAACTTTACCTAAATGATCTCCAGTCTCCATTAGACTCTTGGTTTCTCGTAACATGCACCTAAAACCAAATAAATGTTATTCCACCAGTCATTCCTGTATGCTTGCTTTCAAAAATTCGTGCGAATTGGTAAATATGGTTCCAGTGGACATAAGCAGAGAAAGTATCTAAAATACGTCGGATTAGTGAGCGTATAGCATTGTAAACTGAGACATATCTAGCTGTGTGTAAGTTTTGTTTCAATGAAGTTTTTATTCTTCTGTCTATTGTTTTTTGGCAAATAACTCATTCATGTTAAGAAGCCAACTAGATCTCAACAGCATGTTATCTATTTCCTTAAACAATATTGAAATAAAATATTACAATGAGTTTCACAATTACTGACAAAGCTTAATCTTCATAAAGTAGATTGTGTTCATCTTCCAGTTTTAAAATGACTTCTTTACTGTGTTGAGTGGCTTTGTGATATAACTGTGCTTAAATTTAGTTACTGGTAGTAGTAGTAGTAGTAGATAGCATTTTTGATTAGAATATTCCCTACGTGCCTCATATTAACATCTATAAATTTGAAATAGTTGATATACTCCAATGTAAACATAGATGTACATGGCGGATATAGTTGAAAGCAGTAATCATAAATTATCAAACTACCATTGACACGTTTACTACCTGAGAACCCTACGGCTCAACTGTAAGTCTACCAGTACATTTGGTAGTGAACTTATACTTCAACATTCTATGGAACATAGAGTGGAACGTTAGAAGTTGCAACTTTATTTTTAGTCATATTATCGTAAATGCTAATGAGATACAAAAGTAATTCAGCTTTCAAATGTACTAAAATCCATCTCTTAATATTCTGCTAATACTTTCTAATTGGCCTGCTAATTGACGAATCACTATATGGAGGAGTAGCTAATCTATCGATAATATGGGTCTTGGATAGAAAGATTTAGTTTATGATATTTTGAAAAGCTACACAAATATGAGGTGTCAGTCTCTTGCATAAAGTCATGACTTAAATGTTTTGAATTGATTGGGCGTTCCCTCTTACTGTGCTTTAAAATGAGACTGAAGGATTCTTTTAAAACGATGTTATATTCAAACTACGACTAATCAATCATAATTGGTAACTTCTGGTTTACTTTTGTTTATTCACTGTTCTTCAGATAATATGAGATAACCTTTGATGGAACTTTATCAAACTTTCGATATATTATACAATATGTATATGCCATCAGACCCTTTTGTATATTTTTTAAAGTAGATCACTTGGTAAATGAAGTAAATAAATAACAAACTGATTACCGTTAGTCTAATTTAATTCACGAGCAGAACAGAATTGTGAGCTATTATGAACTGATTATACAGTAATTTGAATTAGTTAAAATCAATAAAAACACTTTTAAACTACGTTCCATTAAGATTCATTGTCTGGGACATTTGTACACACAATTATAAAGAGCAACGTTTACACCAAGAAATGAAAGCATGAACATAACTACAAAAGTATGGACATTTGGATTACTTGTTTTGTCTACTCAGCAGGAGGTTATATATATATATATATATATATATATATATATATATATATATATATATATATATATATATATAATATTTTAAAGTATTCCTGATGATAATATTTGATAAATAAAATAAACTAAAAAAGAGAAAACCACATACGCACTGTTATATTATATTACATCATGTGGAGTCAAATGACATACAGATTGATAGGATGAAAGCAAAGGAGAGGAGAGATAGGAGAAGCATATATTTAGTGTATTTTAAGTAGTACCCGTTTCTGTTTCTTATACTTATGGGTACTAGGTAACCATATGATCTATCCCTAGTGTATCTACACATTTTAGTATATATACAAAAATTATTTTTTTATGTATCCAGCAATAGATATTTGCGTGACCACTGTAAATGGAATGTTCTCTGAGCAATAAACACATTTTTAAGTGTTTATGATCAAATACATTTTTAGGCATATGTATTACTGTTTATTTTACTTAAAACATCCGAATCATTATATAGTTTCAATAAATTTCTTTTTTCTCTTGCCTTTTTCCTGAAATTAGACTTCCTTTAGTAACTACTCAAAGACTGTGTAAACTGTTGGATACGAAAGAAGGTGAATGGCAAAAACTAGCAAAGCATATAGGAATGGAGAGGTTAGTTTATAATTTGGTCTTCCAACACCCTTAAAGAGTACACTTCAACGGTGTCATTATGCTTTTGTCCCAATGCAGTAATATCTGATTCTGTTTACCGAAATGAAGTTCATATTATCCTCGTAATGTATTGAGACGGAACTTTGATTTCATAGACGGGCACTGATAAACTAGATGAACTCATAAACCATGATAGTCAAAAAAACATGACAGCAGTATATGACTAACAAATAATCAGTCGTGAGACTTAATATCTGCTTAGTGGTTAAGGTAGTGGACTTTCAATCAGTAGATCAAAGGTTCGAACTTTGCTCCAAACACGTTAGTGGTTGTAAAAAGCTGATAGTACGGATAATCATAATGCAACCAGTGTGGCTCAAAGTTGTTGACATGAACCTGTATGAGAAAAATTATTTGTATGCCTATATTCTTATGAATCCTGGTTTTTTCTATGCTCAGTTATGACGGGTATATTTCACACCAATAATTCTGATGGTTGCTGTATAGCTATAGAATAAGCATACGCTCGCTGATCAATGCATATTCTTTCTATCCTTTACAGTTGTTGAGGTAAATGAAAGCTAACAATTCGGGAAATATAAATATACTTCAAGTCAATTATTTAACACATACACATTAAAAACATGTATATATAGATTTTCTGCAGGGTAACTTGAAAAAGCTTCACAGTTTTTACCATGCATGTTTCTAAGGAATGGTATTTCTTCATTTTAATTCTAGCATAAAATTTCCATTAAATACGGACTTAGGTTATGAGGCATAATTATTACTGGCTTGAAGTCATGTTTAGAAACTAGGAGTAAGCTGAAAAATACATTGAAGCAAATATTTAATGAACATTTTTCAGTGATATGAATTCTATACCATCTACATTATAGGACAAAATTTAAATAATTAATTACACCGAGTTCTATAGAACATGTCCCTACTCTTACTAACAAACTACGAAATTTCCCACTGGGAGTTAATTTTGGAACCTTTAAACAATGATTAAGACCCAGGACTTAGTGAATGATTAGTTGGAGTGAAATTCTTTGTGTAATTCTCTTTCAGTTCACTTAGTATTTAAGGTGAACTTTAGATGATGGTTGGAGATAGTCGACAGGAAACCATGGATCCGGGTTTTGTGCTACTTGACACTCGTCAGCAAGGTGTACCTGTAATATTGAGGGAGCTGGTGCTCCTTAACGGATTCGATCCTGTGTCACCCAGCTTCACAGTCAGAGACCACCATCTAATCTCACAATAGTGCCCGCAGTGTTGAATCACCTAGACTGATGGCCACTTTGCAACATGGTCGATAGCATTCGATCTGCACTAATAAGGACTAGACATGCATGACATTCATCACCACCCAGTGATCAATCAATTGTGAAGGTTCACTTTGATTAAAACTCATCTCAACACTACAACATTCATGTGGAATTTCCTGATCAATAAACATTGAACTATAAACTTTACTACAGATTCTTGTTTTAAAATATTATTTTTAGGTATATTTTTTATTTGAAATCACAACCAAGTCCAACAGCAGTTCTTTTAAATATGTGGGAAGCTTGTAATCGTAGTGAACCAAGTGTGAATGAATTAAAAGCTATATTCTCCGCCATGGATCGGGCAGATTGCGCAAATCTATTAGACTGAAATATAAATAAACAAAACAGACACCCTTAATTTCAAAAAATATAAAAATTGAAATATATATATATATATAATCACAAATACATACATACAACAAATAGATACATTACCTTGAAGAGATGATACATTTCCAAAATACATATCTTTAATTATGATTTTATTAACTTCGGAGTCCTAGTGCATTTAGAAATAGTAATGGGCTGCGTTCTAAGGTATTACCTGGTACACAGTTAACATAATTTTCTGAATCAAACAAATATATATCACTATGATAATACAAATAATATGAGTAATTGTTGCTAAATTTCAGCAAGCTGCTGACAAGTCTTTCTTTATATCCAATGTTAACCGTAAACGATTAATTTCTACACTGATTAGTACTGCCTATGGGTTGTTCATAACCGGTAATAAATTGGGAGTACCAAAATATGCATCAAAAGTAATTCAATCGAAAAAAAATCCACATATACCATAAAATGGAAACTCAGTGTTCAATTGCTGACAAATTAAAGAAATTGCATTTAATTTTCACAATAAATTGTGATGTTGATTAGAGTCTATACCCCATACACTTTGAATAAAAGCATAAATAATTATACAAGTATTCGGATTGGAAAAAAATTCAGCAATCTTCTTGTATTAATACACGAAACATTTTTTTAGTTCACTTAAGCACCGAGTTACATTTTGCCATGTACGCCCTTTTAATTGCCCGCTTGTATGTGGTCGCTAATATAATACTCATAATTTGTACAGAAAACAGTTTTGAAGTAAATAAATCATAATGAACACATCATTTGTGAATAAATGAGAATTTGTAAAATTTTGTTTTGTTTTATTATATAGCTTTCCTTTATATTTCTTAGGTTGAATTTTAAAAATACATTACATATTCTAGCTTCTTTCGTGCACTACGCTACTTATAAGCAGTGTAGAAAGAGATAGGGATGAAGAGTGATCTCAACTATGGCTTGTTGTAGATAAATTGTGTAGTAGGAATTAAAAAATAAACAACATGTAATGATTTTCTTCACTAGAGAAATACCTCACATTTTTGGAACTGAATAATATATCGTTTATTTAATACTAAAATGTGTATCATACCATTTCTTGGCATTGAATTTCCGGTAGTTTGATACTAATGTCATGTCCTTTCATTAGTTTGATCTCCATAAACACTGACTTTAACGTTAGTCAAATATTTCAAGATGATCTTTTAGTTTCAGCGGAATTCCGGTTAGACTCTAGGATTTAAAGATGAAATGAAGAATGATTTTTTAAAAACTTTCCTTATACCTGTTAAAAATAACGATAAGGACTATTTATACATCATTTTCAGACAATCTTTTCTAGTCACACAGACATCTCAAAATATATTGCTATATATATATATATATATATATATATATGCTGTGGACCTGTATTATTTTAACGAACAGTCAGTTTTAGTGGTGCTGCAGTACAATTGCATTTGCTAGTTATTCATATTACTTCAGTCTCCTAAAAATGTGCCAGTAGGGTTCATTTGTTGATTGTTTCTGTTTGGTTTTTTCTCAATAAGTAGGTTGATTAACCACACAGATGAAAGACATAGATATAATTGAAATTCTATCATATATGTAAGAAAAATAATTCCTTAAAACTCAGAGTATAAACAATTTTACTGAGATTATCCTTAGAAAGTTAAATACTTTGCTTCAACTTAATAAACGGGCAATAGTCTTTGATGATTAAAAAGTGAGTGGGATTTCACTTGCATTATTTCTCGAATGACATAATGACTTAGTATAATTGCATGATTTGTTTTTTTTATAAGAAAACTAACTATAAATGCAATGAGTAGGATTTAATAAAAAGCATTTTTTGATGAAATTACCACTATAACCATCCATACAAACAGTCCTGTGACTTTACTGAAAATTTCTTCTGATAATACTTTACATAATTAAAATCTGTTCAATTTAAAAAAAAGGAAGCTAAATTTTTAAAAAATGTTCAAGTAGACTAAAGAAATTTGCAATCTATAGATAAAGGAAATAATCTAATGATTAAACATGGATCACATTAAGGGAAATGTTTCATGACTATATACTCAAATGACATTGTAAACATACAATTACACAAATATATTTAGGCTGAACTCTATTTGCTTCTTTACTTAAGAAAGCTGACTCATTCAGATAAATTTAATAAAATTCTTAAAACGATAGACAGAAAAAAAATATTTCCTGCTTATGAGTTGTTTTAGTTAATTACCAATAATTAAAAGAAAAACTAAAAATACAATAGTCACGCTTTATTTGTTATTGTCTATTAATTTCTTTGTGTAAATAACGTTACATCCACGTTACCATTTCATGTTGGTAACATGAAGAATAGAAACTTGCTACATTATTCAGGTGAACAAATTTGTTTTTCTGATGAACATCAGTTTGAAAATAGAAAAATAATTAACTGTATATTGTCATGTTCAGGAGAAATATACCAGTAAAATTAATTCCTTCACTAATCATTGTACGCAACTTGTCTGTCTTTCAATGTTAGGAGTAATTTAATATAAAATAAATGACGTACTACCTATATACCATGTAAAAAACTCTTACATTTGACTTAGGGTGTTGTCAAAATGTCAGTGTGAAAGAATTTTCTTCTTAGAATAAACTAATATAAATACGGTTCAGTTATTAATAATTATTTATCACTTTATTAACTAATTTCATCGAAATACCTGGTAGAAGTAAGAAGGTATATTAATTCAGCACCCAAATACCGTGAAACGTTTCTTTCAAATTTAAGTGAAAGTTCTTATATACTAATAGAGCTATGCTTCAAATCTTTACCTAACAGTATACTAACAGATTTAGTATTCACACGAATTTGAAAGCTTTAATTAACTAATGCTGTTTCTTATTCTAGTTATCGATGATTAATTCAAAAAAACTTTAATTTTTTTTGAGAAATATGAAAGGCAGAATTGATCATAATGTGATTTAGTCATCATTGAATACAACAATATGATGAAAAACGAGTTTCCTGTGTTTCATATTAATACCAACAGAGATGTCTGAAGACTTACTTGTTAAATCTGGTAACACATTGCAAAGAATAATTCAGATTGTAATTCATTAATCGAATACATAAAACAATATTGAAATTACAATTATTTTTTCATATTTTCAAGTCAGAAACTATCAAGCTGGAGACATGCATTCAGATTCCTCGGTTTCCATCCAAGAGCTTTTAAACCCTTGTTTATCGATATGTAACTGCTAGTTTTCACTAGTTCACTTTACCTAATTCAGATCACTTTCATCATCTTAAAAAATGTTTAATTTATTAGTCACATTATAGACTGAACTTTAGCCAAATAAACCTGTTTTAGTAAGGTTAGGTAGCAATGAGTTTTATTGTCCTATCGTCCACAGATAATGAGAATACTATTTATACTGAAATTCGAATCTTTAAAAACAAACTTCAAAAATGCAACACTGAATCCTTAAAAACAAGAATACTAGCAAAAATGCGCTGATTGATACATTGGACGATCCTAAAATGTCTTAATCAACATGTAGACCGTTACCACTATCTCTCTACTGTATAGTGTACAAAATTCCGCAAAATGGAACTTTTATAACAAATCAATATTATATGTTATCAGAGATCAAACAATTTCTGTAACACTTAAATACGGAACTGATTATCTATCCAACTTTTTTCTCTGTATCTAACTATGATTGAGGTGTCATTGGCTTGAGGAAATGATCTTTTAAAAATAAAATTCTACTCAGTGTGCGTGAATACCCATTCAAGTTTTGTAGTAAATTATCCAGAATAATAACACCGACAAAATGATAATGATCAATGTAGATGTTGTGGAGATTGTCAAGTTTTTGATTGAGATCATGAACCGATTGATGTTGAACCGCCATTGAAAACCTGGAAGCACTGGATGGCCGTTTCATCCTATTGTGGGACTTCTCGTCCGTGATAATGTTTAGTGATATCAACATTACAATAGAGACTTTATTTTATATCTTCACAGTTTTAATAGGACATAATTTATAATGAATAATTGAAGATCAGAAATTATTAAGTAGTATAATTATGTTTTGTTAAACAGCCCTATTACAAAACAATTGATAAATTATCTCATTGTGCTCTACAACCATACATTTTATAATTTTCCGCTCTGTTTAATGAATAAGAATGTTTATCGTTGAAAACCTCACAGATCGTCAAAAAATATCAAATCATCAATAAATACAAAGAAGATTCAATTGAGATAACGGTCTGAATACTAAATAACTGGAAACAATGACACCGTGAATTAATTATTATATGTCAACCAAAAAAAACAGGTCCAGGAGTTATATAACTTCATTAGACATTAAAAGGTAGTCAAATGACCGACTTAACATTTAAATTAATTTACTTTTACGTTTTACGTGAGGATAAATCAACCAAGTATTCTGAGGACAAAATCATTATATTTTGTACGAGTTAATTTTCATATCCAGTTGATGTAATTGTAGGAATAAATATCTAGCTACACAAAACTGGTTTATTATCAACATTACTCTGTAAAAAACGTATAACTCATTACAAGATGACCATTCACAGGCCAGAAAAACTTTGGTGATCTGTTATGTTCACTATTTGACTCATATAGTATATACGAAAAGTCACATTTATCCTGCCATAAATAACACCGTGCACAAATGCTAATCAAACTACTCTATCACATTACAACAGTCACATAAGTGTATTTCAAAGTGATTGTTAGCTTGAATGACATGGGTTTGAATCTCGCGAGACGGGGTTCGTGGACGTGCACTACTGAGGAGCCCCACAGTAAAACGAAACGGTCGTCTAGTGCATCCAGGTTTTCCATGGTGGTCTAGCTTCAATTGACTCATGATCTTAACTATTGAAATTAAATGACATGTTCAAATCTATTTCTGTGTCATTTATTTGATCTGAGTTGCTCGTTGTACAGTTTGAACTTTTGATAATATAAAACAGTTAAGTAGCCTCTGAAGAAGCTGTATACTCTAAGTTGTAAAATGGCGTATTTTCAATTTTTCTGCTTATGGGGATATTCAGATTAATGCAAACCTGGTGAAAAGATTTAACAATACGGGAATAACCTAACACTAAACTGCCATCGGGTAATAACTCATCTAGTACAGTCAAGCAATAACTACAAACGATTTGCGTACAATATGATACTAATATAAATAATAAGATTTCAACCATTTTATGTAGTTTTCTCTTACTTATAGGATCTTATGACATTAATTTGATTCAGTGCTAGTAAAACAATTACACAGCAATGCTTCAATAACCTCTTTCTTTTATCGTTATCAAACTTCACGATTTCATTGAAGACGTACTGTGATATGATAAACAAATTATGATTATGCAATATGGAGTTTGAAACATCGTTTTCCTAAGAGCCTCATGTTTGTGAATTTAAAGAAAATATTTTTAAGACATAACTGAAAATATTTTACTCCGAATCCACAAAATGGTAACATATACTTCAGTAATTTTAGTAGATAACTAATCTTTTCTTTGGACCTTCGAAAACTATTGGTTTTAGCTGAAAAACATTCAAACTAATTTCTCTTATGTAGGCTGTATAACTATCTGTTTAGAAGCATAACTTGCGATAAAAGTCTAAATTGACATCACTCGATATTCTCTCAAATTCGCAATGATTTTACTTGACTAACAGTTGATATAGTCAAACAAATCTTAACTCTGATGCCAGAAGAAAGGCAGAAACACAAATGGTGGGTAGGGGCTGGTACTATAT